TTCTAGACGCAGCCGTGGTGTGGAGTGTGTCGAGTTTGGTGGCAGGAGAATCTCGTCTCTGCTTTTTGCGGATGATGTGGTCCTCCTAGCTTCATCCAGCTCTGACCTTCAGCTCTTGCTGGGTAGGTTTGCGGCCGAATGTGAAGCGGCTGGGATGAGGATCAGCACCTCCAAATCTGAGACCATGGTTCTCGACCGGAAAAGGGTGGCTTGCCACCTCCGGGTCGGGGGAGAGGTCCTACCTCAAGTGGAGGAGTTTAAGTATCTCGGGGTCTTGTTCACGAGTGAGGGTAGGAGGGATCGGGAGATCGACAGGCGGATTGGTTCGGCGTCTGCAGTGATGCGGACGCTGAGCCGATCTGTCGTGGGGAAGAGGGAGCTGAGCCAGAAAGCCAGGCTCTCGATTTACCGGTCGATCTATGTCCCAATCCTCACCTATGGTCATGAGCTTTGGGTAATGACCGAAAGAACGAGATCGCGGATACAAGCGGCCGAAATGAGTTTCCTCCGTAGGGTGGCCGGGCTCAGCCTTGGAGATAGGATGAGGAGCTCGGACATTCGGGAGGGACTCGGAGTAGAACCGCTGCTCCTCCGGATCGAAAGGAGCCAGTTGAGGTGGTTTGGGCATCTGGTCAGGATGCCTCCTGGACGCCTCCCCGGGGAGGTGTTTCGGGCATGTCCTGCCGGCAGAAGGCCCCCGGGTCGACCCAGGACATGTTGGAGAGGTTACATCTCCAATCTGGTCCGGGAACGCCTTGGGGTCCTGCCGGAGGAGCTGGTGGACAAGGCCGGGGAGAGGACGGCCTGGAGCTCCCTAATTGGGATGCTGCCCCCGCGACCCGGACCCGGATAAGCGGAGGAAGACGAAGACGAATAACGACCTGGACATTTTTTGTATTACGGAGTCCTGGATCCCCCCGGTGAGTCCGCTCTACTAACTGAACTTCTTCCTCCTGGGTGCTTGGTGCTGAACTCTCCCAGGCTTTCGGGCCGCGGGGGAGGATTGCTGACTATTTTCAAAGTGAATATCCCCTGCAAGATGGTACCCTTCACCACCATCATCAATAGTTTTGAACTGATTACTTTCGAACTGGGTAATACCCATCCAGTCCTTTGTGTGCTTGTTTACCGCCCCCCTAAATTCAATAAGGACTTCATTGAAGAATGGTCAGAACTTTTGGCAGAAATAACAACAAAATACGAACGAGCCCTGATTATGGGTGATTTTAATGTTCATGTTTGCTGTCCTGTCAAGCCCCTTGTGAAAGATTTTACTGATACACTTCATTCTTTTGGTCTTAAGCAGGTTGTGTCGGTTCCTACCCATAACCAGTCTCATATTTTAAATTTAGTGATGTTTTATGGGATAAATATTAATAATTTGTCTGTTGACAAAAGTGTCATTTCTGATCATTTTCCAGTTTGGTTTGATTTGGATTGTCCGGTGAGCTTAGGTAAAAGGCCTGTGGTGCTGCGCCAGACACGGGTTATTACCCCGGCTACAGCAGATAGATTTTGTGCTTCTTTCTCTGAACTGCTGGTCTCCACCTTATTTTACACCAATCCAGATGATGCTTTGCGGGTTTTTCACTCAGCCTGTCTCATGGTGATGGATACCGTTGCTCCTTTAAAGGTTAGACGCCCTAAGCCAAAATCTGACCCTTGGTTAAACTCTCACACACATGAACTCAGAAGATTATGCAGAAGGTGTGAACGCAGATGGAAGAAGGATAAACTATCCATTAGGGCTGCTCGATTATGGCGAAAATAATAATCACGATTTTTGTGACTGAAATTGAGATCACGATTATTTAGGACGATTTTTCTATTTATGTTGATTTTATTTGTTTTTATTCAGTCATAAAATTGCTCAAGACACAATCAGGACAAAAGTAAATAAGAAACAAGATGATCACTAAAATAACTCCTGACTCCCAGTATAAAAAGACCAATATACTTACAGCTCATAGTTTATGACCCAAGGGCTATAGACCTTGGTTTAACTCATTTAAGTCTAACCAGTACAGACCCAAATACCAATATCTGGCAAATACTGACAGCAAGAATTATACAGTGGCATTTATAACAAATAAATGCAAATAAATTGATGTTCACAAAATGTTGCATAACATTTATTGAGTCGTGTCAAGGTGCTGTAGGAGAGTGCACTAGCACCATGTCCTCAGAGAGATTAGTTATTAGTTATCAGTGTGAGGAACTTATTTTTACCTTATTTATAATCTATTTATTTACAAGTTCATCAGTTAATGTAATAATTGTCCCGACCACAGCTGCACCCCCACCCCCCAACCTGGTCTCACAGCAATCGGGGCAAGCTGCACGTGTGTTTAGCACGCCGCACGTGCACATTTAGCTGTTTTTAGCGGCTCAGGAGTCCGCAGGTGCGGTGTGTGTGTCACTCACTCTGGTTACTCCAACAGGGAGCCGGCTCTGAGAGCCATTTCTTTAGCGACTGCCACATCACTGCATCATTCCCTTTCCTAATGTCCTGAAGAACGGTCCGGAGCGCAGGCGGAGTGTTTAGCTAACCTGCAGGAAACATCGACGACAGCTATCCAGAAAGTAGCTAAGGGTTACCAGAGATGTTTCTGAGGTGTTCGTTAGGTACTTTTAAGTTAAAAAGTCAAGAAGGGGGTCTGAAAAGCTGCTAGAAATAGCGTCAAAGTCGCCAAGTTGGCAACACTGTGGAGGAGCGATTCATTTGTAACTCAGGGCAGCGCAAGTGGGAGGAGCAAATAATCGGCTTGTTTTGTTTTTTATAATCGTTCAAAACTCAGATCGTAATCGTGATTAAAATTCGATTAATTGAGCAGCCCTACTATCCATTTCCCATGAACTTTTTAGAAATGCACTAGATGAGTATCAGAAAGCAGTCAGGAATTCTAGAAATAAATACTTTGCCAGCATTATTACTACCCATTCTGGGAACCAGAGGGTTTTATATAAAACGCTAAATGCAGTTTTGTCGAGTGATAACTCTCCTACAGTTGCAATCACAGATGATCTCTGCTCCCAATTTTTAAGTTTTTTCCTAGACAAAGTCTCCAATATTAGGAGTCTAATCATTTCCCCCGGAGATGTTCTGCTACCCGTATCAGTTTGTACCGGATGCTTTGACCATTTTGAGCCGATCACACTGCCTGCCCTGGAGAGATTAATATCTTCCATGAAGCCATCAGGATGTCCTGATGACATTGCACCAGCCAGACTCTTCTGGGAGGTTCTTCCAGTGGTAGCCCCTCATGTGCTCAACATTATTAACTCCAGCCTTGTTTCGGGAATTATGGCCTCCTTTTTTAAACATGCCGTGCTTCAACCACTACTGAAAAAATCTGGCCTAGACCCAACTGACCTCGGGAACTTTCGCCCCATTTCAAAGCTCCCCTTCTTGTCAAAAGTGATGGAAAAGGCTGTTTATAATCAAATGTTGCCCCATCTGAACAATTTTGGGGTCTTGGATAAATTTCAGTCTGGTTTTAGACGATATCACAGCACAGAATCTGCTCACATCAGGGTTTTTAATGATATTATTTTAGCCACTGATTCCGGTTCCCATGTTGCCCTGGTGATGTTGGACCTCTCAGCTGCATTTGACACGGTTGATCATGACATTTTGTTGTCCCGCCTTGAGAATTTGGTCGGCATTAAGGGATCCGCGCTTGACTGGTTCTGCTCCTACTTTGACAACAGGTCTATTAGAGTTAGAATGGACGACTGTTCATCTCCCTCTGCTGCTCTTCCTTGGGGCGTTCCACAGGGGTCTATCCTCGGCCCCCTTTTATTTAGCATTTATATTATTCCACTGGGACTAATCTTCAGGAAGTTTAACATTAACTTTCATCTTTATGCGGACGACTGCCAGATTTATGTTCCATTGAAGGCTTTTACCTCCATCCAGCCGCTCCTTGATTGCCTGAGTGAGGTTAAAGACTGGCGGGCAGCAAATTTTCTGCTGCTGAATGATTTTAAGACCGAGTTTATTGTTTTTACTCCTAATGGCTCGTCTTCCTCCGCTCCTGATTTTTCTGCTCTTCCTTTTAAAATTAGTCAAACAATTGTTAATCTTGGAATTAAAATGGATGTGGCTCTAAAAATGGACCCTCACGTTAATCACATGGTTAAATCATGTTTTTATCAGCTGAGACGTCTTTCCAAACTAAAACCCATTCTGAATCGGCGCCACCTCGAGACAACCATTCACGCTTTCATCACCTCAAGGTTGGACTACTCCAACGCAATTCTGTTTGGTATTTCAAAAGCCGCATGATCTCGCCTTCAGCTGATACAAAATACGACGGCAAGATTTCTGACCAATACTGGCTGTCGGCAGCACATCACTCCAATTTTAGCAAGACTTCACTGGCTTCCTGTGCACTACCGCATACGTTTTAAAATGTTATTGTTTGTTTTTAAGGCGCTGAATGGCTTAGCACCACCCTACATATCCGAGTTACTCACACCTCATGTGCCAGGCAGGACTCTCCGTTCAGGTGACCTACACCTACTACAGATTCCCCGTCAACGCTGCAAAACCCGTGGTGAACGAGCTTTTTCTGTCTGCGCTCCAAAACTTTGGAATGATCTCCCACTGAATATCAGAATCTCCTCCTCCATTGGGGTTTTTAAGTCCCACTTAAAGACTTATTTTTATTCTCTTGCTTTTACTACCTAGCTATTTTATTGTTGGTTTATTTACACTGTTCTTTTACTGATTTTATTGACTTATCTTGGTTCTTTGTGTTTTGCTCTAGTTGTTTTATTCTTTTATATTATTCTTTAACCTTATATGTTTTTACCCCTGTACAGCACTTTGGTCAGCTCACATGCTGTTTTTAAATGTGCTTTATCAAATAAATGGAAATGGAATGGAACGCTAGACCGAAGGTCGCTTTCATTAGTTTGCATCTTCTAAAAGAATTGATCCAGGAAATGAACAATCGCCTCCCAGACCAAACCGGTTTTGGGCCACAGGCACTCACCGAGTCCGCTTATCTCCTGTCGGCTGTTCAGTCGGTTCCTCTCGTCAGTAATGGCTTTCAGCATCTGCAGCAAGGAACCGTCCAGCTCTCCGTTCACCTCCTCCGCGGGCCCGACAGCCTTACACAAACCGGGGAAGGACGCCATCTCCGAGCTGGGACCATGACAGTCTTGAGCTAACGGTAACCGACGGGACCGGGTCACCGTGGCGAGCTCGCGGCTAATCAGAAGAGAGCACCAGCCGTTCTGGTCCCAGTCTATCCCCGAGAAGACTCCAGCTGCTGCAGGTCACACCTAGTCCGCTCTGGTGAAACGTAACGCGGACAAGTCGGTCTGCCGAGACACTACGGTACTTCTGTTGTTCGGATCAGCTGGAAACACCCCGAACACTTCCGGTAACACGAGGCGTTTAAAGAGACAGCGCAGCAGACCGCGCATGCGCTTTAAGGTTCCTTATCATTGCCGTGTTATGTTGTATTTTTCATGAGAAATACCCTAACCACTCATGCGTTTTATTGTCTTAGCTGTGGCTAGTTTAACGTGACATTGCACGTATTCAATAAACTACGTGCTGATTTCATTTGATGTTGTTGTTTATTGAAGGATCCCCATTAGTCTTCACAATAGTGAAAACTATTCTTCCTGGGGTCCTCTTGATAAAAAAACAAACAAACAAACAAACAAAAACACAACATATACAGTGTAGGATTAAAACACATCCTTACCTATACAGTGTAAGAAAAGCACAAGAAAACATGATCAACCTCATAATAAAACTAATATAAAAAGCCACTAGAATCGTTTCACTAAGAAAATAAAATATGCATTACAAATTGATCAATGAATTCATAACAACAATAAAAATTATTATCATTATTATAACAACAATTTGTTCATTCTTTAAATCTAATTGAAATAGCTGTATTTGTTATCTGATATAAACTGATGTATTACCAGTTTCTTCAGATTCACTTGAAACGTACCATGAACATTTATTGTTATTAATTCAGGAGGCCGGATATTCCAGGACGTGATAGCTCTGTAAATGACTGTGCTTTTAAATCAAATCAAATCACTTTTATTGTCACGTCACATGTGCAGGTACACTGGTACAGTACATGCGAGTGAAATTCTTGTGTGCGAGCTTCACAGCAACAGAGTTGTGCAAAAATACAGTAACGTAAAAACAAGTAACATATAAAAATGGCTAATCTAAGTAATAATATGTATAGTATGTAAGGTATATACATTACTAAATGTTTATGCAAGTATTTTTGTTAAATATATTGTTCTACGTGTGTGCGTGTGAGTGTGTGTATAGTGTGTATATACGTGTTTTACAAATGAATAAAGTAAACAATAAAATAAGAGATATAAAATGTACAGAGGTTGGTATGTGCTAAACAGTGGCATTAATGTACAGTATGGAGCGTGTAATGTTGGAGTTTCAGTAGTGAGGGTGAGGTGTCTGCGATGTGTTCAGCAGTCTGATGGCCTGATGGAAATAGCTGTCTCAGTCTGCTGGTTCTGGACCGGATGCTGCAGAACCTCCTTCCTGATGGAAGTAGTCTGAACAGTTTATGGCTGGGGTGACTTGAGTCCTTGATGATCCTCCCCGCTTTCCTCAGGCACCTCTTCCTGTAGATGTCCTGGAGGGAGGGAAGCTCACCTCCAATAATCCTTTCTGCACACCGCACTACTCTCTGGAGAGCTTTGCGGTTGTAAGCGGTGCTGTTGCCATACCAGGCGGAGATGCATCCAGTGAGGATGCTCTCAATGGCACAGCGATAGAAGGTCCTGAGGATGCGGCGGCTCATGCCAAATCTTTTCAGTCTCCTGAGAAAGAAGAGGCGCTGCTGTGCCTTCTTCACTGTATTGTTCGTGTGCACTGACCACGTAAGATCCTCTGCCAGATGAACTCCAAGGAAACGGAAGCTGCTCACCCTCTCCACAGCGTCGCCGTTGATGGTGATGGGGGGGTGTATTCCTCTGCTCCTCCGGAAGTCCACTATCAACTCCTTTGTCTTTGTGACGTTGAGGATGAGACTGTTGTCCTGACACCAGTGGGTCAGGGCGCTGATCTCCTCCCTGTAGGCCGTCTCATCGTCGTTGGTGATGAGACCCACCACTGTGGTGTTGTCCGCACACTTCACAATGATGTTGGAGTTTCTCGTGGCCGTGCAGTCGTGGGTGTAGATTGAGTACAGGAGAGGGCTCAGCACACACCCCTGCGGAGCACCAGTGTTCAGTGTGACGGGAGATGAGGTGGTGCTGCCCAGTCTGACCACCTGGCGTCTGTCAGACAGAAAGTTCAGGATCCAGCTGCAGAGGGAGCTGCTCAGTCCTAGATCCTGCAGTTTCCTGTCCAGCATCGAGGGAACGATGGTGTTGAATGCTGAGCTGTAATCTACAAACAGCATTCTCACATACGTGTCCCTCTTCTCCAGGTGTGACAGGGCAGCATGGAGTGTCAGGGCTATGGCATCATCAGTGGACCTGTTGTGGCGGTATGCAAACTGTAGACGGTCCAGTGAATTGGGCAGTGCAGAGCAGATGAAGTCCCTGACCAACTTCTCGAAGCATTTGCTCACGATGGGGGTCAGGGCTACAGGTCGCCAGTCGTTCAGTGAGGAGATGGTGGAGGATTTGGGTACAGGGACAATGGTGGCCATTTTGAAGCAGGCTGGGACTACAGCCAGAGAGAGGGAAAGGTTGAAGATGTGTGTAAACACTCCAGCCAGCTGACCCGCGCATGACCTGAGGACGCGGCCGGGAATCCCGTCCGGACCAGTAGCGTTGCGTGCGTTCACCCTCCTGAAGCACCTCCGCACATCCTCTTCAGACACAGTGTGCACACTGACGTCATCCGCGGTGCGCTCACTGTCCGGTCTCATGGTGTTCGCTGCGTCGAATCTGGCATAGAAGGCGTTTAGATCCTCACACAGAGAGGCCGTGGTCTGCGGTGTGCTGGTTCTTCCTCTAAAGTCTGTGATTGTGTTTAGTCCCTGCCACATACTCCAGGGGTTGTCAAGCTGTTGCTCCACGCTGTCTCTGTACTCACGTTTGGCTGCTTTGATCGTCTTCCGGAGTTGGTAATGTGCGTGTTTGTAGTCTGATGTGTTCGCGGAGGCAAAGGCGGTGCTCCGCGCCGCCAGCGCCGTTCGCACACCTCCATTAATCCAGGGTTTTAATTTGGGAAGGAATTAACTATTCTGGATGGGACAACATCTTCCACGCATTTCCTGATAAATCCGCAGACTGAGTCTGTGTACTCATCATTTTAAGTGCATTAGTTCTTGGCAGTGGAAGAGTAACACGAGAGGCATTCCTTCTGTTAAAATCGTGCCGCTCACAGGTTGGCAACAGCTTTGGAAACAAGCTAAAAGGTTTGTGTAAAACCCAGATTTTGTGTGAGGACACAACCAGGCTGCAGGCCAGTCTGTCGTTGACCTTCATCCATGACAGATTGGAATGTATCCAGTTGATATTAGCTTTAAAGGGGCAACTGAGAACCAATCGTGCAGCTTTGTTCTGAGGTCTCTGAAGTTTGTCAAGATGTTTCTTGGCAGCATTGAACCAAACAACTGAACAGCAGTGCGGAAGACACAAGACCAGAGACTGCACAACAAGTTTTCTGGTGTCCAGCAATGTATATTGAGCATTGCGCCTAATTACAGAAATGCTCATACTCGTTTTCTTTACAATATTATCAATATGTGTAGTCCATGACATTGTTTGATCCAATGTTATGTCCAGTAGTTTGGTCTCTTTTGCTTGTTCAATTTGTTGTCCCCCTAAATAAATATCTAACTTCTGGTTTTTCCTTACCAAATTCCTAGAGCCCAATAGCATACACTTGGTTTTCAATACATTCAATTTGAGCTTATTTCCCTCCAGCAACTCAGAGATAGACTTTAACTCCTGTTGAAGCATAACATTGACCTGAACTAAACTTGAAGCTGAGACAGATAAGGTCGGATAATCCGCATATACAGTCATGTTCGCTTCACTGCAGGCAAAAGATATATCATTTACAAATATACTGTATAATAAAGGACCCAATCAACTCCCTTGGGGAATCCCACACACAAGAGTGCCAGTGTTTGACGGACTACCATTAAATATGACACTTATCTGTACAATGTTTTTTTTTTACTTCTGTGAATTGGACTAAGAGTCCAGAGTAAAGAATAATTGACTTGGTCGTGTAAAGATTTATCCTGCAAAAACAAGAAAGTAGCCCAGTGCTTTGAATTTTCAAGTCATATTCAAGTCATCTGTCCAACATCTTTATGCAGATGACATCCAACTGTACATCTCCTTTAAGCCCCATGAGATGTCTAAGCTGCAGCTGTTACACACCTGCTTAGACTCTATCAAAGCCTGGATGGTGGGAGCTTTCTTCAGCTGAATGAAGATAAGACTGAGATCCTCATCTGTGCCCCAGACAAGCTGGTTCCTCAAAGTCAGAGACTCTCTTGGTCAGCTTGCTTCTCACACCAAACCTTCTGTCAGGAATCTTGGCGTGACCTTTGACCCAGCTCTCACCCTGGATTCTCATGTCAGTGCTCTTGTTGGCTCTTCCTTCTTCCATCTCAGGAACGTTGCTAAGCTGAGTCCCATTCTGTCTCGCTCTGAACTTGAGACAGTTCTCCACACCTTCATCTCCTCACGCTTAGACTACTGTAACTCTCTTTTCACGTGTCTGAGCAGAACCTCCCTGAACCGTCTACAGGTGGTTCAGAACGCCTGTGCTCGGCTTCTGACCAAGTCCTCCAAACACACCCACATCACCCCGCTTCTCCTCCAGCTTCACTGGCTGCCAGTCAACTTCAGGGTTCATCTCAAGATCCTGGTTCTGGTCTATAGGGCCTTATGTTTATTTATGTTTATGTTTATTTATTTAGCAGACGCTTTTATCCAAAGCGACTTACAACCTATAGGGCATGTTGTGATCTGTGGGGGAAACCGGAGTACCCAGAGAAAACCCACGCATGCATGGGGAGAACACGCAACTCCACGCAGAAAGGCCGCAACCGAGTTTCGAACCTGCAACCTTCGTGCTGCGAGGCAACAGTGCTAACAACTGTGCCACCATGCAGTCCCTGGACAAGCACCATCTTACATTGGTGATCTCAGTAGGGCTGCCACGAACGACTACTTCATTAGTCGACTAGTCGCCAGTTTGGTAATGATTAATTGCGACTCATCGTTAGCTCTGTGACAGCAGAGTCTGTCACCTCAGGGACATGGGCTTCTGGTAATGTTTGTTTTCTGTGTTCTTTCCAGGATGACTGGTTGATGTGCACACAATCAGTCTTCTGTTTATGAATGCATGTGTTGATTTTGTCCTTCTATTTGAGTTACCAGTGACTTGGAGTTGCCCATGGAGTCTCACACCTGCAGCTCATCTCCT